AGAACCAAAGAAAGACTCTGGCCCCCCAGACCCCAAAAAAGAATCTGGTCCACTCACCATGAAGAAAGGTGCCAAAGCCCCTGCCCCAGAGAAAGGGAAAGGTGGCCTGGCCCAACCCTCAGCTAGCAGCCAGGGGCCGGAGGGAGAAGGCGCCCTGGGCAGTGTTGGGCAGCCAGCAGCCCTGCCCCAGCAGACCCAGACGGCTGAGGCCAGTGTCACGAAGCCCAGCGACAATGATCATCAGGAGTCCCCCGGCAACCAGGACCCTGGAGAGGCCAAGGAGCGAAAGAAGGCAACAGAGAGCCAGGCAGCGGCCAGGAGGGGCTCCCCGGCCTTTCTACATTGCCCCAGCTGCCCTGCTGCCATCTCCAGGTGAATGCCCCTGCCTGGGGTCAGGGAGGGGACTCTGTCCCAGGGGTCGTGCTGAGCGCCTCTGTCCTGGGAATCATTGCCATCGCATTCAGAGCTGGATTGGGTGGGCCTGGTGTTCAGCTACCTCTTGCATAAAGCAGGAATTTCATAGAAGCCTGTAATGTCAGTCGGAGAGGTCCTCAGGACCGCTCAGGTGGAACTCTTCTTCTCTAGGCACCTGAAGTTCAGAGTTCCCCTTATTCTGTGAACTTGGGTCTAGCCAAGGGTGGAGCCGAGATATCAGGAGGAAAGGAAAACCCCTCTTCGTAATATAATTATCAGTATAACATGGAAAGTTAACTCATAACAGATGGGTAGATCCTTCCTAACACTTTCATTAACTTACTAATACTTTTCATAATAAAGCATCAGTCTTATGATGTAATCAATCACACTTACCTGAGTGCTAATCAGATTAACCAGGTCATTAATGATATGTTGTAAACCACAATAAATAATAACACCATATCGACTTAAATTTCATATTAACATCAATTGCATTGCCACTGTTTTTATGAATCCAAAGCTATGTTACCTCCATAATTATATCCATATAATGATGGCTCATATCACTAATCCTATTAATGGTCAGTTATTATCTATTAGTGTGTTAATAGTCAAGGTAATGACCAGAGTCATTTATGATAATATTAACATCCCTTGATTTTGCACAAAGTGACTTGGGATGCATCACCCCATGCACTTGGGGTGGGGGGAGGGTTATATTGGCTCCAGAGAGCAGATGAGGCTCTGGAAGCCTGCAGACCTGCCGGAGGCCACATGGGGCATCACCTCTGTGTTCTCACCTTGTAGCCCGGAGCAGCCGCTGGCGGAGAAGCCCCCAAATGAGGCATTGGAGCTCATCTTTGAAGGGGTGCCCGTGACCCCCGGCCCCACAGACCCCGTGCCAGCCAAAGCAGAAGCAGGAGGGGAAAACAGCCCGCGCGGCAGCCAGAAGGAAGCAGGAGAGAAGGCTTCCGGCCAGGCTGGCCCGGCTGAGGTGGAAGGGGACACCTCGCGGGGGATCGAGTTCCAGGCTGCGCCCCCGGAGAGATCGGAGGCGGGGCAGCCCCTCTGTCTCACAGCCAGGGAGGAGGACTGCTTCCAGATCTTGGGGAGGCCGGGGGCAGGGGTGGGCTTGGGGCTGCCTGGGGGCCCAAGGGAAAAGGGGATGGGGATCCCCAAGTCTCCCCACTTTAGAGGACTGAATTGCTCTGAGCCATGTCTCACCCAGGCTGATTCATCTAAGTGCCACACAACTCCAGGCAACATGAGTTTCTAGAGCAGCGGTTCTCAACCTGTGGGTCGCCAACCCTTTGGGGGTCGAACGGCCCTTTACAGGGGTCGCCGAAGACCATCGGAAAACACATATATAATTACATATTTTTTTGTGATTAATCACTATGCTTTAATTATGTTCAATCTGTAACAGTGAAAATACATCCTGCATATCAGATATTTACATGACGATTCATAACAGTAGCAAAATTACAGTTATGCAGTAGCCACGAAAATAATTTTATGGTTGGGGGTCACCACCACATGCGGAACTGTATTAAAGGGTCGCGGCATTAGGGAGGTTGAGAACCAGTGCTCTAGACCCTTCTGACAGATGGGGAGATGGAGGCTCAGCAACAGGAAGTGGAACGAGTGCCCCCAAGTCCACAGCGAGGACAGGACCGGCGCCTCTCAGGGCGCCCTCACGCCAGAGCTCCGTTTGGCTTTCTCTTCCTTTGGCTGATAGGCGGCTTTGAAAAATGTCAGGCAGGCCATTGGAGCGGCACCCGCTCCCTGGGCCGTGGAATTGGAAGTCAGTCTGTAGAGGGACCAAAACGCCAGACTTTGGGACTTGAACCACTTCGTGGACGGGGCGGGGCGGGTTCGTGCGCCGAGGGGCACAGGTGTCTGTGCGGAGGCCGCGGCCAGGGAAGCCGGCCCGGGAGACGGGAGGCCCG